TATAGTATTTTGGTACTGAAGTTTTGTTAATCATTTCAAGCAAATTTTATTAGTATTCGTTTTAAGCAAATTGGTTTTAAAGACAGTTAAACCTAACCTCTATTGGAAGGTGGTACAACAAGCTATCTCAAAATATACATATATTTACCAAACTAAATTTAGCGAAGGGGTTCCTCCGTAGTGGTTAGTTTTGTCTGAGCTAATTTTACTCGTACGTTTCCCATTTGTGGTGTTCAATAATTATTAATGCACGTTGCCTAACAAGCAATTAGTGGGGGCCGCATCTGTGATCTACCCGGTTTGTATTCTTGGCTCACATGGAGGTTCCGTTGTGTTTCGATAAACAATTTGGGATGAATTATTTCAGTTAGGCGTTAGGATAAGGTAAGCCAAATACGCCCACTGGATATTAACATTAGTCGGGTTTCATTAACGTTGTGTGCCTATAAACAGCCGCTTAGAGTCGTTGACGAATCCAATGTATCGATGGCTGATTTTAATGGGCATTTTAAAATTTATTACCACGATGTGTTTGCTACAACGTCAAATCGCAAATAATAAATTAGCATATTTCGGGTTGATGGTGACTTTCATACGTCAGCCAATCATCTATGATCTTTGTTTAAATGTCTTCCTGGCGTGTGGCATTAACATTCGAAACAATATTATTTATAAAAATATGCGATACAAAATGAAAATTAGTTTTGTAGTCTATTTTAAAAAAGATTTCCAAGCAAGCAAAAACTTCTTGAACCAAGGTAGATTAGTTGAATCAACCTTTACAGAATATTTATTTTTTCAAGTTAAAAAACTACAATTAGCATGGATTCCTTAAAAGACCTTTAGTTGCCACCAACATTCACCGTAACTCAGCATATACTGTATATTTAAAGTGCTTCGATCCAACATTATTTAGCAATCATGATTTAGGTATTCATGGGGAATTGTTCGCTCTACTGGTCTCGTTCTCAACTGAGGGAACCCAATTTGTAGCTCTAAATCGGTCCACGTTCTGTCACATCTGGCGCGACACAGGGCTTGTATTCGGTCACCACTAGGTCACATTTGTTTACGATTTGAAAATTTACTTTCAATCTTTAGTCACAAATCTTACTCTGGGTGACAAATCTGCTGAACTTATTTGAAGATTTAAAGGTATATTTATGCCAGGATATCATTTGAGTAAAAGAGATATAATTATTGAAAATGTTTTGAGATAACTTGGCTTTGCTTGTCGTACCAATCATGATGTGGATGCTTTTCAACTATGCTTCCATCCTATGTTAAACAAGTGTACCTCCATTGTAACAATTTTCTACAACAATATGGAATCAATTTTATATTAAATAGGAAATACAAATTTAGAAGATCCGTAAAAACTTGTTAATTTTCTTTATTGCAAGTTTAATAGAAATAAATACTAAAATATTTGACTAGATTATTTATTTCAATTTAGCCTTTAACAAATAGCAGCTCTTGTCAGAAAGACGAATTTATTTATACTTATGTTTTGCCTATATATATTTAATAATAATAATAATAATAATAATAATAATAATCATGACTTTATTTGAACAATATAATACGACAAAGTTATTACAAAGAAACAATTTCATTTGCCAAAGAGAGACAAACATATTTTTACAATACTACGTTAATCCTATAAAAAAATTATCTAGATAAATTACTGCAATTATAGCAGTGGAAATAAGTTACAGAAAAAAAATTCTATACATTATAGTAACTTTAACTAAAATTAACTGTTTTTATAACATTTTGGAGCTCAGTGATATGTAGGTACCATATTACTTATTTTACTTTAAGCCCGTTAATAGAGAGAAGATAATTTTTAAATTTTATTTTGAAATTATGTAATGACATGTCAAGACACTAGTTTGGAATTGTTGAAAGTTGAAATACTATACGGTGTTGTATGAGAATGAGCGCTGAAAGATTGCAGTCTTAGGATGTGGCATAGTTAGTTTGGCATTATTCCTAGTATTAATATTGTGGACGGTGTTACCAAATATTTAGCTTTTTTTTTATGGAAATTGGCGACCTAGAATTATTTATTACCCTAAACAAAAATGTCGAGAAATGTAGGATTCTTCGCTCATTCATTTTGAGCCATTTTATATTATTGTGTAAGTGTGATACATTATCAAATTTCCTCACACCATAGACAAATCTAATACATACATTCTCTACTATCAAAACACGCTTTTTACCTTCCTGATGCAAACAAAAACCATACACAAAGTCACAATAATTGAAATTAGAGAGGATCAGGGATTCACACAGACTTCGTTTCAGTTGTTTACTTAAAATATGTCTATTGTTATATAAAACTTTCATGGAGGCAAAAGATTTTTGAAATATTTTTTTTAGGTGTTCATTGAATCTGAGTTTGCTGTCTAAGATAACTTCCATATTATTGGCACAAATTTATTCTTTAGGAATTTAACATTCTTATCATTCCCAAACACCATAACACATGATTTACTTGGATTAAGTTTTAAGTTGTGGTCTTGAGACATCTGACATCTGTCGGGGTTAAAGCTACAATAAATTTGTGTATCATCCGCAAAGACTTGAATTTTACAGAATTTTAAAGATCTCGAAGTGTTAGAAGTATAAATAAGGAAAAGCAGTGGGCCTAAAATTGATCCCTGTGGGACACCGGATAGAATGTCTACGAATATTTATTATTCGAAAGAATTGATTGAAATCTAAAGGTTAAGTATGATTTGAGAAGATTAGTAATTTAGCCACCAACAGCTCGTAACTAATTGTATCGAATGCCTTCGAAATGTCTAAAAGCAGTAAAACGGAAGTATTTTTTTGTATTCCAAGCTTGAAGAATGTTATCCAATACACTAGTCAATGCTATTGACGTACCAAACTCTTTACGAAAATCACACTGAAGATTGATATTGGTTTTTGTACAAAATTCTTAAAGTTGTTCATAAGCAATTTTTTCGAATATCTTCAGGTTTACCAACAGAAATTTTCCATTGGACTGGAAAATAGCTTGTTTCAATGCAGCAAATTATTACGTGCGTAAAAAGACTACAGTATTTGAACATAAGTCCACTCGGGTGGCGTTAGTTTTAATATTATTAAGAATTTACCGTGGATATATCAGGCATTTTAAATGAGAAGTATAAATTGTTTTTATAGAAACTGGTATTATAAAAGTTTATTTTTATTAGACAGTTCGACATATTTTGTAGGCATGTAGATAAATAGTTACTAATTTCATTATATTTCATATATTGAAACTTTGATCTCAATATCTGCATATGAATTTAGGTGTTAAATCCACTAATGTTTCACCGTAGTCAAGGTTGTAACTCCTGAAATTTAGTACGATCTGTTGAAAGTTTGTTGAAAGAGGATACCTTGTTAAATCATTTTAATTGTTTATTATGTGTTCTTTGTTTATGTATACGACCCACTAACAATTTGATTTGATGCTAGTGTTAATTAAAAAACAAATAAATAATATTTCAGTGAGTTATATAAATAAAAAATATAAATGTGTTCATATAATAAAAGTCTTTCCATATAACAACGAAAATTGTTGAATGACACGACAATTTATAATTGTGCGTATAACTTAAAAACAAGGAAACCAGTATTTTAGTATTCTTTATCTATGCATTTAGTTTTTACACAAATTATCATATTTGGTCTATTGCGGATATAATTTAAGTTTCTTATTTAATAAAATGTCCTGAAAAATGTATAGTATATAAATATATAATGTTAGCATAAATTCTATTTTTTCACAAATATATTAAGAAAATGTTTTTTGGTCACCAAATATGTAAATTAGTTTTTTAAAAATTATATCTGTAAGTAAAGTAATTAAAGAACAAGCAATTCTTCAACTTCTACAATACAAAGACAGGAATCCCCACTTCCCGTCTTTTTCTATCGTAAAATTGACCTCAGTTTTTTGTCACCCTGTTCCCATTGCAGTTTAGATTGGGTTCACTGTTCTTCGCTTAAGAAATGTCATAATTTATGATCCAGTTCAATAAAATACTAGCAATACCGTTGCTAACCATAAAAAAGCCTTTGGAAATACTTCATAATATTTATATGTTACCTTTGAACCTTTGCATTATTAGTGGCTCTGTTATTAGTTTCATGGTGTGCGGTTTATGGAAAATGACGCGAGAACATCTTAAGATTATATCCATTTTTATCTTATTTGAAGTTTTAAATTTATTAGCCTGAGTTTTGTAGAAGGCGAAGCATTGTTAAATGCAAAACGTGTAATTTTAATTGGGTAAAACATATAATAATAATAAGAATAATAATAATAATAAACCTTGAAGATAAAATGCCATATTTATTCAACATATTGCCTTATGGCATGGAAACCTGGAAATGTGGTCACTGAGGACAATGCTCCGAATTTGATGGGTGGATCCTGTTCGCAATGAAGATGTCAGAAAAGCTGTAGAGAGTGAAGTAATTAAAAAACGTAAAATTAGCTACCTCGGCCATGTGGGTATGTACCCAGAGGGGCAAAAAATAAAATCCCTGGGTTAATCCTACAAGGAAAGATCTAGGGCAGGAGAGGTGTTAGTCGTAAGCACATTTCCTGGCTGCGTAATAAATAACACTGATGAGCGTTGTTACGCTGCCATCAGTAGAATGTTAAGGTGAAGAAGAAAAGTGTACTTTAAAGGGCGTTTTTGCTGTGTGCCTTCAAACTTGCAAGCTGGTTGGTTTGCCTTTCCAAACTTTACCCTCGAAGTAGCTTGGTATTTTTTTCGTTAAAGGTCTAACTGAATCGGTTTCAGTCGCAACAGAATCGGTTGAAAATATCAGTTTTTGCCCATCCGTATAGGCAAAAAGGGTAACGCGAGTTTTCACGGTCAGCGGTCTAGTTTTCGTGTTGCGGCTGCCTCTCTTTCCGGTCGACTCGCCCACAAGATTTTCCTCTCAGTCAGTCAGTCGGCATCGGTAACCCGAGACGGGGAAATCGTCGCTCCGAATTTCAGCGCTGGGAAAACACGTGCGCTTCCCGATCGGCTAACGATTTGTTGTTTGCGTTTGGAATTGTTGTCGCTTGTTATTTGTTGATTTTTGAATTGTGTGCGCGATTTTCTTTCCGTATATGTAAATTCAACGATATGCGTCAGGTTTGGCTGCTTTCTTTTGCAAGTGGGTTTGAGAGAAAATTCTCCACCCAACACACCCATCAAAAACTAAATTTGTTGAATTAGATGGTGAATTAGGTGGAGGACTTGAACTTTTCGAAAATTTTATTTCTGTTTTTGTGTTTTGATATTCAGGTTCATTTAAAATTTTGTAAAATATTTTCGGTGCTCTAACAAAAACATTTAATTTAACGAAAAGTTATTTCTGTTATTTGCAATTTATTTTTCTTCAAAATTGTAAGAAAAAAATTTGAAAAAGTTATTTTATTGGTCGCTATTTTTCGATGTGTTGATTTCAGGTGACAAAGGAATCTATTAAAAAGGCACTGTCCATTTGCCGGACAGTGCCTTTTTAAAGTTTTACCTTTTAAGCCTTGCCAAAATTTTAAAAATTAAGTATTAAGTATTTATTGTATGTTAAAAATTAAAGTTCCCATTTCTGCAACGATTTCTTTGACTATTTGTTTTTCTCCTCTATCCTTTGCTGTTATTTTAAATAATAAATATAGATTGCTTCAATTTTCAATTTTTAAATCTGTAATACACATCTATTCAATTTGCTGGTTATTTGATAGTAAAGGTTAAAAAATGTACCTCCTCAATTGCTATTAATAATTTTTTTATACAGAAGTGACACCAAAATCTCTGAAAAATGAAACGGGACTTTTCTTGGCAATCGTTATCTGCTAATCTAAAATGGATAAAAAAATAGTAACGATTGCAAGACGTCTTTTTCAAAATGTTCCTATATTTGTTCGTATATATTGTAAATTAGAGCAAAGCATATTCTTTAAATTATTTATTGCTTGTAATTAAGGCCATCCTCCCATGAAGAGGGCTCTGAAAAACAACCTTTTAAGATATACGATATACGTGTATGCCTTTGGAACATTGTGATATATTTACAGGATTTGGGTAATTGACATTTTGAGTTTGAGTGCGCCTCTTGGCAAACTTAACCTTGGTAGAAAGAAGGTGATTAGAAATTGACGGAGTTCAGACTATATATTTATTTATATCACAGATTTTCTTTTCCTTGCTGCAATTCCCGTCTTAAATCGTAGGCATTTTCTCATATTTTAAATTTTTAATAAAATGCCAAGGTAATTTTGCCCGATTATTTAGTGGAAATTTAATCAATCGAAAAATAGACGAGTTATTCAACAAATTAAACTAAACTAAACAGTAAACAAGCCAAAACTTTATTACCAACAGCAAATTGGTCGGAGCTTACCTAAACTTCACTGCTGCAATGTTCCGCATAGTAATGGTTTCCATTTTGCCCCTTTCGTCGTTCATCGAAATTACTTAGGTGATTATCTCGCCTTCCATTTTCTACAAGAAAAAGTGCTTAGTTTCGCTTTCGTCTTCAACGATTTTTAATTTTAAGGGGGTTAATCACCTGTCACATTATAAGGTTAAAAATAGATTAAATTATATAATTTTAATTATATAATTAATAATAATATAATGTTAAGTGAACGTGTATACGATTTCAAGAATTCAAGAATTTAGATATCAAAATTGAATACTTTTAATTTTTCGAATGTTAACCTTTTTTATTTATTCTCTAAGTTTTTTTGCAATAATGAGGTCATCGATCGATCGATACCTTTGTTAGCTCGTCTCCTTATCAAACGAAAGCAAAAAGAACTCAGGAAAGAGAAAAATATTCAGTCAAGCGCATTTACTATTGATGTGTTTCAAAATTTTCCGCTCAGAGTAAGAAGTCAAGTAAAAGTAAGTAAAGAGGTTTTTTTTTTCAATTGAAAGGTTCGGTTGTAGGTAACAGTTTGCCTTATTGGTTTTTTCTTTTTGTTTATGGTAAAATAAAGTGATTTTTTTTAAGTTAAAGTCAAATTCTCTATTAGGGAGGATATCATTTCAGCAATTGTCTAAGAAGAAACAAATAAGGAATGTATAAATTCTAAATATTTCTTATGTAGTAAAATGCATATTATGACGGAATAATTGAATGTTTTTTCAAGAAAATCAAAACGTTTTCCCATGCATGTTTACTGGAAATTCTGAGCAACTTTTATCTGATCTTAGTTAAACATCATATAAAAAAAGGACTTTCAAAATCTCTTTACATTTACCAAAAAACTCTTTTATTAAGGTAATTATTATAAGTATCCGGGCAGTTCTGGTCCTTGGTGGAAAACGGTATATCAGAGCGAAAAGGTACGACACTAACAAAACTAACTAACCAAAACTAACCTAACTTTCAGAAAGTGATAATAATTTTTTAAAAAAGTGCTGTGGAGTTCACGTCACTGAGCTCAATGTTTTACAAAAAATTAGATTTATGTTGTCGGTGAATTTTGAAAAAAAAAACGTAAAAGACGGAAAAGTTTTACATTTTGTAATACCCTGTATATTTCTGATTTTTATCCTAGTTTTTTAAATAATTTTATTTATTATAATTAATAATTTATTAAATTATAAATTACATTGTAACTGTCAAAATTGCATTACACTGGTTAAGATTAAAACATTCTCGTATAAACTGACAGAAATAAGGTGATATTCGAGGAAATAGCTTCGAAACAATTTTCCGGAGAGGCTGGTTTACGAGATGAGATAAATTTAATATTCAGTTGTCAAGTGTGCGTCTTGTAGCCAAAGAGATATAAATTGGCGACTCGTCATTTATCAACCGAAAAATTGAACTTTATAGAAACGTTTTAAATATACAGGGTTAGGTTTTAGTTTTCTACTAAAATAGATTGTAACCTTTATTCAATGCGAAAACAATTATTAGTTATTAGAGTTATTTTCAGATTTGCTCAACCTAGCTCACTAAAGTTTAGCTCGTAGTAACTTTCATAGAAGATATTATGAATAATTAATTATTTTTTTTGCAAAAATTTAGGGCAAAAGCGGTTTTTATAATAAAGTTTATCATTTAAAAAAAGTTAGGATAATATCGAAGATCTGGCGGTAATAAATTTCATATCCGAATATTTATGTAACTTTTTATAATAATTTGAACAATAAATATAAAGACCAATTTGCCTCATTTGCTGTTTATCTTAATCAATGTATTTAAAATTCAGTTAAAAAATGAAAACTTTTAGGTTGATGTTTTGTGTTGCATTAAAAAAATACTTTCTTAGAAAACAATCAGAAACGCGATGTTCGATTGTGTTTTCGGTACAACCCTTTTATTCAGCGGGAAAAATTCTACAAAAGTAAAAAAACTATTGCTAAGGAACGAACAAAAAGTTAAATCAAACTTGCCGCAACTTGAATTGAACAGACAATACGAACAGTTAAGGCCGCGAGAAAATACGTTGCCAGAAATATCTTTCAGTTCCGCAAACTTTTAGTAGTTGGGAAAGTTTACGCAAACCGAGCTCGGACTCACAACTAAACGCAGTCTGACAACTAAACTTTCTGGTATGTTAATATAATGGTCAGCGAGGCTACATGGACAAAGAACGGGCGTATCGGCGGCTCCGGTCATTCCATGTAAGGTGCTTCTTCCCGGAAACTAAAATTTACTCCCGACAGGAAATGTGTCCCAAATGAAACTTTAAACATAAATAATGCATCGCATATTTAAATGACCCATATTCCCCATTTACATCTGAAAGGTAACCGACACGGCACTAAACATAATTATATGAATTTTGATATGGTCTAATATGCTTTTGCCATGAAGAATTTGCAAAATGGAGTTTTATTGAGAATGAAGCAAGGCTTTCAAAAATGGTAACTATACCGGTAGTAGAAAATGTTATCGATCAACAAATACGTGCGGCGTGCGATGTAGGATTCCATCCGTTTGTGTCCGTTGACATTGAAATTGATTATAGTAATACGTCTTATCTCTACGGACAGAAAATTTTACAGAATTACGTCCACTTCGCAGATGTAACTTGTTTGGACAAAAATATTTAAAAGATCACATCTACTAGCTCAATATTTCGGCACCAGAATTAAGTCATATTAAGGATTTATATGTTTATTGATTGATTTATGAGTAGTACCAATCACAAAAATATTACTCACCATCTAATTTTGAAACATAAGCCCTGAAGTTGGTTTAGTTCTAGGTGCGAAACGTTGACTTAGTTGGTTTGATTATTTAAATATATTTGTTCAAACAAGCTACTTCTTATTATATTATATAGTACAATTAGGTATGAAGAGGCCATGAGTGATAAACAAATGTTTTAAACTTGTTGCTTAAATTGAATTTGTATTGTCCGACACGCCATAAAGATCCTTGCAATAAAAGGGACGAAAAAAAGGCCACCCCGATTACGCAAATAATTTTAGTAATAATAACCCTAATCTTTAGCCGTATAGGTGAAAAGTTTCAGTCTTTCCTTTATGGTAAAATTTAAGGAAGGTTTTTTCGGTTAGATTTGATTATAGCAGCCATTTCTGAAATATCTTCATCGAAATTTTTACTGGAATATATCGTATTACATGGTCATAAAAATAAAAACGAAAATCCCAACTTATTTTTTTTTTAATCCGGATATTTCTTTTTAAAGTTGGAGAATAAGAATTTTTCTCCAAAAGTTAACACAAGTCTAGCACCGTTTTTTTAGATATATTTATATCAATGGCAATGGTTAAGTTACAAAATAATTATATAAACTATCTCTAAACCTAAGCATTTGTTCCGACTGGTGTCAGGTGTGGGGGTTTCACCAGTTCCGGCAACGACTGAGAAATGGAGAGCGAAAATTTGATTTTAGAAATGTAAATTTTTAGATTTTAGATTGTAGACATCCGCTTTCGGTATGAATTAATCTCAAGACTTTATCGAAATATTAGGAAAGCAGTGACATTTTGAAATCCAATGATGTGCAGCTAAGGTGTAACTAGGACTGTTGGATATTTTTACAACACATTGCATTTATTTTGAATGGTGTCAGGTGTGGGGTAATGGGGGTCTTTAAATGTTTTCATTATCGTTTGTATAAAATTAAGTACCCAATTTTAATTTAAATTTTTTGCATTAAATAGCATGGATCGTTGCTTCTC